CCCGCGACGGGGCCAACCTGGTCCCTCCGCGGCTGCTGCAGGCACAGCCAGGGTTAAACCGCCACCTTTCGTGCCTTGGCTAGCGCCCAGATGCTTATTCTTCGCCCCAGGAGCTCCTGCTGCTGCCCGGCGTGGTCCGTGCTGCCCTGCGATACGGCTGTGGAAGAGGAGCGGTGGGCTCGGGGTGTGAGGGGGATAAGCTGTTAAACTGCTCTGTGGAACGAGGCTGCAGCCCCGGCACTGCCACGTAACCCTTGGGTGACAAGCAAATCTCTTTGCTTAGTGTCAGCTCCTTGGTCAGCCCTTGGAGTAGGCTCTGGGTGCAAAGGTACCTTATAACTCACTGTCCTGAAGTCCTCCCTGGACTGGAACTGGAGGTTGATGCACCCTTTGGAGGGAGATGCACCCTTGGGTAGTCAGCACAGACAGTGCTGAACACATTTTGCAGAGGCTTCTGCAAGGGGAAGCACGCACCAACAGCCCCAGTCTGAATCAACTGCACGTGAAGTTTTGTGCTTTTAACCTTCTGCTTTATCTGGTAAATAACTGCTAAACTTCTCAGAGACACCCTCCCTGACATCAAAGCACTGACTTGCTGAGATCAGTCAGCAGGGGAAGTACAGGCTGGTTTCAGTTTCTGTAGCTGAACACAAGCAGCCCCCTCGGTCCCCTCAACTGTCCCACCTGTGGCACAGCCTGTTCCTCCACGTGCACAGACAACCTCAAACCCAAACCTGCAGCTGCCGTTAGTTACTGATCATTTCATGTCAAACCCTGTGCTGGGATGGTCATGGAGGTACAAAACGGACCCTCCCGTGGGGATTACTCACAGCAGCAGGTCCAGCATGCCTGGGCCTGGCAGCAGGACTGCACCTGCAGGCAGCAGTGGGAGGTCTGCAGAGGAGAAGGGTTTGTTCTGCTCTTCCTCTGACCCCACAGAGCTGGTTCTCCAGCGGTGCTGGGCTCTTGGCTTGCCAACTGCTGGGTGGGAAGCAGCACAAGCAGACCCTGGGCATGGTTTCCAGTTGTACCCACCCCTCAGTGGGTAAGAACATCTCTAACACCTACCATCTGGTTTGAGCTGTGCCACAACTCTGTGCCCTGGACGCCTGTAGAAGGGACATCCTCTTGCCAAGGGAAAATGAGGTTTGGAGTGCAATCTCTGAGATGCACTTTACTGTAGGCCCTGGAGAGGAACACACAGAATGGCCTTGGCGTATCTCCAGGAGGAGAGGATGTTGTGGTTTTGGAGGATAGTTTTCCACAGATGCACGCAAACGTGAAAAAAGCATTGGGACGTTTTATTTTTCCTCTCTCTGCAACCTTCATCCTGGGAAAGAGGATTTCTAGTGAAGCCGTTAAGCCTTCCGTAAATGAGGTCATCTGGCAGATTGGGTGTGTAACACCAAAATACTACAGGGCAGGTAGATGTTTGCTTTGAAACACAAAGCCACGGAGAGCCTGGGTGAGTCCCAGAGCTGCCTCCCCAGCAGTGTTGGCAAGCAGGGACAGGTTCCCAGGACAGCAGAGCCCTGGCCTGGAGGCATAGACCGAAACACCAGGAAACCTGGCTGTTCATAGGCCAGCTCCTGGGGGAGGGCTGATGTTCCACAAGCCCTAATGGGTCCTCATCTCACCGTTTCCTTCTCCTCTCATCCCAGTTCCTCTCCCAGCTGCTGGGGTTCCTGATCAGCGTGGTCAGCTCCATCTTCTGTGGCCACCTGGGGAAAGCTGAGCTGGATGCCGTGTCACTGGCTGTGTCCGTACGTATCACTCCAATTCCCCTCAGATTTAAAACACACAAATTAGGTATTACAAAAAAAAAAACACCTCAAACCTGTAGGAACGTATGTGTGAGGGCCCTGTGCATCAGCAGAGCCTGATGCAACACAGACATCACACCCACCAAAATATTCTTCCTTTTGCCCTGAACACAGGCAGGAGAGGGGAGCTGAGCAGGCAGTGCTTGTGCCAGTGTAAGGCCAGCACCTGGGCTGGGAGCAGCACTGGTCCTTTAGATACTCACCCCTTCCTAGAGGATCCTTTTCCCCAGCAGAGGGGAGAAGAGTCTATTTAGTTAACAAGATTTGTTATTCTGAGAAATAGAGAAGGGCTGGAAACTTCCCAAAAACTTGTAGCAGAACTGTCTACCCACCCAGCTGGGAGGGACTCAGTGCTCTGGGCCAGAATCCCTGTCTCTCCTCCAGGTTATCAACGTGACAGGCATCTCCATCGGGTCTGGTTTAGCCTCAGCATGTGACACCCTGATGACCCAGGTCAGTGGCAGCTCCCCCTTTCCTGTGCCTGATGGGGTTTACCTGGTGCTGTCTCGCCTCCTGTGCAGTGTGATCTGGGCACAAAGAGCAGGGGGGTGGCAGCTTCCAGACAGAACAGGGTTACAGACACCCTGGCTGGAGCCTGCTCCCTCCTTGGAGCTCCCTCAGGGAGCCCTGGGTCCCTTTGGGTAGCAAAGGGATGTGCAACCCACCTGAAGGCCAGTGACACCCAACCAGCCTGGCATTCACCGCTGCAGGATGTGGGAAATGCATTTAATCAGCTTGTTGTTGCCCTAAGAGTTTGCCCAGACCCTTTGGCTCCCTGAGACCCCCACCTTGGTCCTCTCTCTCCTCGCTCAGACGTATGGCAGCAAGAACCTGAAGCAGGTGGGCACCATCCTGCAGCGGGGCACCCTCATCCTGCTGCTGTGCTGCTTCCCTTGCTGGGCACTCTTCGTCAACACTGAGCAAATCCTCCTGCTCATCCGACAGGACCCCGAGGTCTCCAGGTCAGGGGTGAGATCCAGCCCTTCTGGATCGGGCTTTTTGCTGTGGGTGGGTTGCTCTGTAGTGTTGAAATCAAGCCTCTCTGGAGCTTGAGCACAACGCTGTTTGGCTTGGCTCTTGCTTTGCTGTAATACCAACTGGGGAAACAACTCTCTTTCCAGGTTAACTCAGGTCTACGTGATGATCTTTATTCCAGCACTTCCTGTAAGTCTCTGCTAAAGCTGTTAGAAGCTCTGTGTCCCTTAGTAACATGAAGGAAAGGAGGGAAGGCCTTTGCTGTGTGTCTCACAGGGCAGGTTTAGGGTTTTACAGTGTGTCCCTTGACTTTGTGCCTTAACAGATGTGCATTGGCCAGCAGCTGCTGGACCAGCAAACACGAGGTCTCTGATCTTCCTGTGCAAAGGCTTTTGCTGTGGCCACACAAGTGGTAGTGGATATTGGAACCAGGGGCTCCAGGCTCACTCTTAGCTCCAAAATGAAGGCTGGAGCTTGCTGTTCACACACTCACAGCTGCTGGGCTCCAGCTGGTTACTCCGACTTCTCTAAGGCAGGGAACAGTATCCCTTGGAATAAGGGTCTGTAGGTTTATCCTTTCTTCTAAGCTTTCCAAGCTTTCTCAGGCTGATGGGGAAGCATAGGAGATTTTCCATCTGGAGACTGATCTTTCTTCCCAATGGGAATGGGAGGTGTCTTCTGTTACTCTTTTGGGTGCAGTGCTGGCAGGTGCCACACTTCAGACAGAGCACAGGAACGGGGTGTCGGGAAGGTGCTGGCTGGGGCACCCCAAGAAGGTGGTGGGGGGACTGGTCTGTCAGGGTTCAATGGTCTGATGATGAACTGAATCCTGACTCTTGCAGGCGACGTTTCTGTACCAGCTGCTGACAAGATATTTACTAAGTCAGGTATTGTATAACCAGCCAGTTCTGGGCTGTACATTAAAGGTATTCCCAGGAACATGGATAAAGTTGGGGATCTGAGTTCATCCTGTTCTTGGGAGAGCTGGGCTGAGCAATGTGTGATGTATAGCCCCCCAGCTGGCCCTGGGAGAGCTCACAGGAACCACCCTTAGCTGGCTCCATTTCCCTATGGCTACTTCCCAACTCTGTTTTATGGGTTGCACCAGCTCCTAAGCCCTGCATGTCACCTTCTGCACGTCACCTGCATGTCTAACACAGCTCAGCCTTACCTGGAACAGGAGCTGGCTTTCTCCTTGGGCACTGCTGAAGTTCTCCCTTGTGTTTACTGGATGGGGCTTGGCCAGCACTGGGGAATCAAAGTCCAAAGTCCCTCCTTGGCTTCCAGGCGATCATTCTGCCTCAGGTGTTGACCGGGATTGCAGCCAACATCCTCAACGTGGCCATGAACGCCTTCTTCCTCTATGCACTGAAGCTGGGCATGGTGTAAGTGTGAGCAGGGGTGGTCACAGTCTCTCCCTGTGTGCTCAAGGCTGGGGGGGTGTCCTGGGTGCCCAGTTCTGCCACCCTCTGCCCCCAGACAACCAGCCTGCAAAGATGAGGCTGGAGGGAGCAAGGCTTGTGTGGTACAAGGCTTGAGCAAGACCCACTGGGTCTCTCCTGCTGTAGCTGAGGAGATTGGGAAGGATGTCACTTGTAACTTGCCTATCTCCCTCTGCAGGGGCTCTGCTTGGGCTAACACTGTTTCTCAGTACACCCAGGCCATCCTCCTCTTCCTTTACATGTGGTGGAAGAAGATCCATGTGAAGACCTGGGGAGGTACTGTTATAGTTTAATCCTTCAGAATACCAGTGTCTGACCCTGGGAATTTGGCACAGTCACCAGCATCTGACAAAGGGATTGTCATCCCCTCACAGTGGGAAGATGCTGAAGTCATGTCCTCAAGGCCTTTACTGTAGCTCCAAATACATTCTTGTTGAACATCCTGTCTCAGGAATGCAGCATGGCATAGCAGCAATCCTAGGCAGGTGTCCTGTGAGCTGCAGTGATGGTTGTCCTCTGAGACTGTCCAGAAGAGCATATGGTTCCCCTTTGGGGATGGAGAGGGAGAACATGTGTTCATTTTGCTTCACGTCCTCGTTGCAGGTTGGAGCAGGGACTGCCTCCTGGACTGGGGCTCCTTCATCTGGCTGGGAGTGCCCAGCATGATCATGATGTGCATTGAGTGGTGGACCTTTGAGATTGGGGGCTTCTTGGCTGGTGAGTCCAAATCCTCTTTTTCCTGTGGTTCAACAGGCTGCCTTACAGCTGTACCTGCTCTGGTGGCTGCTTCTTGACTGTGTCCCCAGAGCTCCTCCTGCCAGCAGCTTCCTCACCTACAGGACCGGGTCTGCAGGACACTGCAGGTGTTCCCATCCCTTCAGTGGGAACCCTGTAGTCGCTGCCTCCTTGTCAGCAAACAAAGGAGGTGATGAATCTTTTCCAGGGCTGGTTAGTGTGGTGGAGCTGGGTGCACAAGCCATCATCTATGAGCTCGCCTGTGCCGCCTACACGGTAAGAGCTGGGTGTAGGAAACCCCAAACAGCCTGGGAGCAGCCCCCAAACAGTGGCTCTGTGGTCAATCTGAGGTGGGAACAGGGGGCAGTACCAGGCAGGTGATGCCTCTCAGACCTGCCACAGCAGCTGCACATGCAGGGTGTGCTGCAGATGGAAAATCCCTTTACTGCAGCCGTGCCCAGTTTGTCCCAAATTCCCCTCTGGAGAAGAAAAATTTGCTGCAGGCTCTGTTGTCACTGCAGGCTCTGCTGCCACTCACCTCCTCTTGTCTCCTGCTGCTCAGGTGCCTCTGGGCATCAGCGTGGCTGCGAGTGTCAGGGTGGGCAATGCCTTGGGATCGGGGGATGTGGTGCAAGCCAAGACCTCCTGCATCACTGCACTGCTGTGCACAGGTGAGCTCAGGTCCTGCAGAGGGGAATGAAGGGCAATTATCAGCAAATAGTTGAGTTCTCACAGGGCTGGGGACCCCCCATAGGAACCCAAACCCCACTTGTTTGGACCCCTCAGGCGCAAGGCAAGATCCTGACTGCTCTTTTCTGTTACGAGCCTGGTGCAAAGGCTTTGGTAGTTAAAACTGCAATTTAGCGTTCTGCCCTCCCCCTCCAGAAGGCAGAGGGAGTATCTGGGGAGAGCTTGAGGAAAACAGACTTGTCCTCTGCTGCAGTATCACTTGGAGGTCAGCCAAGTCCAATCCCCATCACACGAAGCCTTTGAGGTCTGGGCCTGGATTGGGAGCAGGACGTGCTGCCCTTGAAACAATGTGACTATTTCTTTTTCTTTTCAGGAGTTTTTGCTGTGCTGGTTGCAACTTTACTGGGAAGCCTAAGGGGTGTGGTGGGATACATCTACACCAATGACAAGTGCGTTAACAGCTTTCTCTCGAGTATTATCACCTTCTTGGAGGGTGTTATTTATATCCCAGAAGCTGCTGACAGATAAGAGTTCATAAACCCCCACCTGGCAAACATGTTCCCAAAGGTTCCTTCCCGTTGCTTGGAAGCACAGAGGTTTCTGACACTGGGGCACTACCCTGGTAGCAGGCTGGGATCAGGGAACTGGGATCAGCCTTTGCAGCTGGCTGAGGGAGATATGTGGGAACCTTAGTCCTTGGTGCTGCTTGCCCTGATCAGTACATACATCTTCCCAACAGGGAGATCGTTAACTTGGTGTCCAAAGTGATGATCATTTTTGGTCCGTTCCACTTGTTTGATGCGACAGCAGTGAGTATTCCAGCGTGTGGAGTGATTCCTCCCTGCAGGCTGGGGTGCCGTGGAGGGTGCAAAGCTGCCTGTAGCTCACTCTTGACCTGTTAAAGTGATGCAGAGAAGCCAACTGATAAGCTGTCAAGGCAGCTGATTGTGGTACCTCGGTGTCCCCTGTGCTTGTAGTTGTCCCTTGGCATCGCTGCAAACAACCCAGTTTTTCCTCCTCTTTTCCCCTGGCAAGGCTCCAGATTTTTACTGTCTTATCAAAGCAGCACAAGTGAGCAGCTGGGTGTTCAGAGATATTGTGTGCTCCCAGCATACTGGCAGTGCTCATAAACTCATTAGGTAGTAATTTTGACCTGTTTCCTCGTACCATGTCCTGGGGAGAGGGACCTGGGCAGCATGGGAAGCTCTGTGGGATCTGCTGGCAGTGCCTGTTGGTGTCGGCAGCTGGAGCAACAGGAGCCCCACACTGTGTGCTCCAGGACGTGGCTTTGCTCCCTCCTGGCTTTGCAGTTCAGTGCTGTGGGTTCCCCTGTTTCCAGGGCCATGCCAGGCCCCGGGTCTGCTGTAGTGGTACCTGACAGGGATCCCTCTGCCCGCCCTCCTTAGGGGACCTGCGGGGGAGTGCTGCGGGGCACTGGGAAGCAGAAGCTGGGTGCCATCGCCAACGCCGTCGGATATTACACCCTGGGCCTGCCCATCGGCATCTCACTGATGTTTGCAGCCAAGATGGGGGTCTTCGGTACGTGTGTCCTCCACCTGGCACTGCATGAGCTGCCGTGAGCAAAGGCCCAGCCCTGGAACTCGTGCCGGGATCTTCCTGTGGATCAGTGGGGCTGGATTGCACACTGGTGTGTTTGGGGCAGGCGCTGAGACCCCCCATCAAATGGGGGCTGAGATGTCCCAGTAAATCCAGGCTTGCTCCCAGCTCCCCCAGGAGCTGTTTCCTTTCCCATCGAGACTGGGTTGGACATGGGGCAATACTCTGACCCCACTGAGGTCCCTGGGCTTGTGGCAGTAGCTGACAAAGGCAAGTTTTTCTCGAGCCCTCCCTGAAGTAACTTTCCATTGCTGCAGGTCTGTGGGTTGGGTTGATCATTTGCATCTCTGTGCAAGCCCTTTCCTTCTTGGCTTTTGTCATCCGCATGGATTGGAAGAAAGCTGCAGAGGAGGTGAGACTTGTGCTTCTCTCTGGAACACTTGAAAGATGCTGGGTGAGTTCCTGTCCCAGTACAATGCAACAGCCCTCTGGGAGAAGTGAACTGGGATCTGTCCTTCTCCTGTAGCAGAGGAACAATTTGGTGCTAAGCATGCTTGTCTTGGGAGAGTGGAGAGTTTTCTGGGCTGGGCAGGACACCCTTGCCCTGAGAAGAGCAACTCTTCCCTGTGTTTTTAGGCTCAAGTCCGAACTGGAACAAAAGTACAACTGGAAGATGTGAACTCCAATGGCACAGCTGCTAACAAAACATCTGCTGTGGGTATGTAACCAGGCCTGACACTGAGGTGGGAGCCCAAATTCTCCACCCAACCCCTTCCTTTCCTTCCCAGTCATGGCAGCCGTGTCTGTCCTGCAGGCTCAGATGGCTGGAAAGAGCACAGTGCCTGGTGCTGGTCCCAGATCTGCCCTTAGTGACAGCGTACAAGATACTCTGTCACCGTGCTGGCTGCTCCAGGGAAGAGCCTGGGCTGCCAACCCATGTCTGCCTCACCTGGGGGCAGCTGCCACTTTGCTGGGGCATGTCCCAGTGTCCCAAGCTTTGGGAAAGGGTGCCCAGGACTGTCACTGGCTCTTGTGTAGCATCAGGCTGGAAGCCCCTGAGTTGGCAGCTGGGCTTCCCTGCAGCACTGGCCTCTCTGTCACACAGATTACACCTCTGTTGACACGGACACCGTGGACACCGTGGCCTTGCCTGAAAACATCGTGGTGGGTGAGAGGCAACCTGACCATGAGCTCATCACACAGGAGGAGCCCGTTGTTGTTGTCCCTGCTCCTCGTGCCATGGCGTGGAGGGCCCTGATCCTCCGCCGTGTGCTGGCTGCTGCTGCTGCTGTGGCTGTCCTGCTGGTGGGCATCCTGGTCCGGCTCCTGACTGGCAATGGCTAGAGCCAGTGACACTGGGGAGTGTGCACAGAGCAGGAGGGCACGTGGTGATGTCCCAGGAGGATGGTGCGGGGAAGGAATTCCCCCTCACTTCTTTACAAAAAGTCCCTTTACTCAGTTTCTGGTTAACTCACAATGTTTTGTCCCACAGTCAGAGTTCTTAGAGGGGGTGAAGATGTGGCACTTGGGAAAAAAAGTGCTTGAGAGCTGGTTCCTCTCCTGCGTTGCACTGGGATGTCACTTGTGATAGGCGGGAGCGTATCCCGGGGCTGACCCTGGGAGGAGACAGGGTCCTTTTGCTGCTGTCCTGCCCCCTGAGGGCATTTGTCCATATCATTTGCTAATGGCAGGGGCTCCTGCTGCCCACAGCACATTTCCTGGCCTGTGCCAGCATCTTGCCGTGGCAGAGCCCACTTGCAGCTGCTGTGGCAGCGCAGGGCAAGGTGGATTCAGCTGGAAGATGTCTGGCTGCCATTTGGGTGCTGGCTGCTGGCCCCTGGCCCCGCTCCCTCTGTGGCGGGGCAGGCACAGGGCCTAAAGCAACTCTTCTTTGCACTTTTGTAAGGTGGGATTTTGATACAATGAAGTTTTCTGAGTAAATGTTGGGCTGTTTAATGTGGTGTGTGCATGACCCTGGTCATTGGCATGACTGTGCTGTTAAGAGGAAAGACATAGGTCTGGTTTGTGCAGCCTGACAAAGCCTCAGGCTTCTGACCCTGAGGTTTGGGGCTGGCTCTGGGTATAGTGTTATCACTCTGCTCCCCTCGAATACAAAAGCAAGGTTTGTGCTCCTCAATTGCTTTCTGCACCTCTGAGTGCCAGGGAAGAGGGTGGATGTGTTGCACAGCCCTCCAGAAACACCAAAGAACTGCCATATGTCATAATGCAAAACCCCCATCCCTGCCTGCCCTCAGCACTGGGTCCCTCTGGCCCTGTCCCAGGCTCTTACCTGCAGCTGAGTGACTGAGACGTGGCACATGCTGGGCCCTTGGAGGTAAATCCCGTGTAAAGCAGATGGATGGCACCTCCCTGTCACCCTGGCTCGGGGTGCTGGTTACCTGTGGGCTGGGAATGAAAAGATGTGATGTAAACGAGCTTGAAACTGCCATCATCCCCAACACCCAGGGCCTCTGCCCAGCTGTGGGAGGTTGTGGCAGGTTCTGCCTTGCTCAGAATCCCGGGAGGTTTGGGGTGGGAGGTCTCGCTCTCCCCCATGAGCTACCCCAGCCCACCTCCCGCTCCATGCAGGAGCAGGTCTGAGCTGCAGAGCAGCTCCCTCTGCCTGCCTCCCCCGTGGGCCAAGGACACTATATTTGGCCTGGGGGAGCTGTGCCAGTGAAACCCGACACGGTGGGGCTGTGCCAGGCCGACAGCTGGAGCCAAGGGGGCCGGCTTGTCTTGGTCACTGTGATGAGAGGGGCCGAGACAGGCAGCGGCCCCACCACTGCCGGCAGCAGCTCACCAGAGACCACACACAGATCCAAGAATCCTCCCTCGCTGCTGGAAGAAGAGGACAACCCTCCAGCCTGCTGGCTGGTGGAGCTGTGGTGAAGCAGGAGAGAGGTACGAGGGCTTGCAGGGCAGATTTGGGATGGCTCAGCCCCTATGCTGGCTCAGGGCAGGCAGTAAGTGCCTTGCCGGGCTCCACTGCACTGCCAGGACCCTCACTGGGCTCCCCAGCTCGGTGCCCTGCCCTGACCCACTGCCCACACTTCCCATCAGCAGCAGGGAACGTGTGGTCGGACCATCCGGCCCCGGCTGAAGTTCACCCCACCGTGGTTACACATTGCTCACCCCACCGTGGTTTAACAGAGCGTGGAGGGAGGGGTTGTTCCACTCCCCTGGCAGAGCAGCAGCATGAAGCCGGAGAACCTTCCTGAGGAGAATGGCAGCACAAAGACAGAGAACCTCCCCGAGGAGAACGGTGAGGCAGCGGCCGCTGGCCAGGACAGTCTCACACCCGGGAGCTGCGAGAAGAAACGCCACTGGATTCAGCACCTGGTCCCAGATAACTTCTGGGAGGACGTGAAGAAGCTGCTAGTGCTGGTGGGGCCGCTGGTAAGGACCTGGGAGGAGAGACACCCCCCCCAGCACAACCACCCCTGCTCACCTCCATCACTAACCTTCGCCTCTCCTCTCCTCTCCTCTGTGCTTAGATCCTGATCCAGCTGCTGATCTTCCTGATACACCTCGTTAGCTCCATATTCTGTGGCCACCTGGGCAAGGTTGAGCTGGCCTCCGTCACGCTGGCCATCGCTGTAAGCATTCCCAGTACCAGGCACGAGCTCCCCCCTGGCCCGCTGACTCTGGAATGGGATAAAGGAATGGCAGCAGAAAAGGACAGGAGATTTCAGATTGCCACTCCTCCTTTTAACCCCTCTCCCTACCTGAAAGTCTTAAATGCTCACCTTCACTCTTTGTTTTCTTGACTCCCGTTCCCAGGTTATAAATGTTACTGCCATCTCTGTAGGTTATGGTCTGACTTCAGCATGTGACACCTTGATATCACAGGTGGGTAAGACATGCTGGCACTTGTCTTGGGAACACGGGGGTTTCCAGCATCAGCTGATGATGCCCCATGGAGCCCTGGCTGCTCCTGCGAGCTGGGTAGCAATCCCATAACAGGGAGATCCATGCTCCAAATCCTTCCTGGGTGGTCTTCAGGGTGGTCAGGGCTGCTCTGTGCTCTGTGGGGTCCCTATCCCCCAGCACCAGCTGACTTTACCACTGCCCTCTTCGCCTTGCAGACCTATGGCAGCAAGAACCTGCTGCGGGTGGGGGTGATCCTGCAGCGTGCCACCATCATCATCCTCCTCTGCTGCTTCCCTTGCTGTGCCATCCTCATCAACATCGAGCAGTTAATGCTCCTCATCCGGCAGGACCCCGAGGTCTCCAGGTGAGGTGGTCCCATGGCCCCTTCTCCCTCTCCAGCGTGGTGGGGCTGAGAGGAGGGTGGCCATGGCCCTGCCCCTCCCTAACCCTGCACCCTCTGTGTGCCCCCAGGTTAACACAGCACTATGTGATGGCGTTTGTCCCTGCTCTCCCGGTGAGTCCCTGTGGGCACCCTGGATGCCATCCCACTCCTACTGCTCAGCACTGGCTCACCTCATCCACCGATTTCCTTTGCAGGCGGTTTTTCTGTATAACCTGGAGACAAGATACCTGCAGAACCAGGTAGGTCCTGAAGTCCTCACACCCAGGAAGGGTCAGCCCCGGCTCAGGGCTCCCTTCCACCATGAACCCAGGTTTTCCATGCTCACCATTCCCGGCAACAAGGCAGCATTTGTTCCCACCCCTGCCCAGGTGCCCCAAAACAGCTCTAACCCCGTAGATCACCCCACCCCACAGCCAGGTGTATCCATCCACCTCCCTTCCCCACATCAGGGATTTACCTCCAACACATTCGTTTTCCAAGCAGGCAACGTCACTGGAAGTCTATTTTTTGCCTGGGAAAGGCGCTGAGCCCGGGGGCTGGTGGGGACCTTCACACCTCCCTCCTGGAGCCTTTGTGAAGACACCGTAGCCCCGTCCCCTCTTCTTTGCAGATGATCATGTGGCCGCTGGTGCTGAGTGGAGTCATCGGCAACATCGTCAACGTGGCTGCAAACTGCATCTTCCTCTACGTGTTCCACTTCGGCATCACGTGAGTTGCACCTGTGTCCCACGGAGGGGACAGTGTGGCACCTGGCAAGGGAACACCGAGCATCTGCTGCTCAGAGGGGCATGGAGGGACGTCATTTCCAAGCTCCCTGAGGCCAGGGAGGCTTAAGCAGGATGGAGACAGACCTTTCTCACTTCCTCTGCAGGGGCTCTGCCTGGTCCAACACCGTTGCTCAGTACTCGCAAGCCATTTTCTTGTTCCTGTACATCATAGGCAGGAAACTCCACGTGAAGACCTGGGGAGGTGAGGGCATCCCCCCCGTTCCCTCTGGTTCACGCTTTACCCAGGTGTCCATAAAACTTCCACCACTTCTATCAAGCGTTCCTGATGGAAGACAAACTCTGTTTGTCCCGATGGTGAAATATTAACCCCAGCCCCACACGCCCCGGGTACCACGGAGCTGCTTCGGTGGCAGCACGTCATGCACGAGCGCTGGCAGGGTCCGGGCCGGGCACTAAACATTAATTCTGGAGAAATGAAACTTCCTGCTGAGGCTTTCAAGGGTTCAGCCCCAAAGCCGGATGAGCACAGACGTAAGCACGAGGTTGCCCTTAGAGACTCTGCTCTGGGAGGGATGGGCTGAGGGTTGTGCTGCCCTGTGGCCCACAGGACAACATCAGACAGCACGTAGGTGGAGCTCTGCTGCTAGAGGTCCTGTGGAGCTGAGGAGCATTGCCCTGGTGGCTGTGAACAGGAATGGCACCTCTAGCTGCCTCAGGTGCTCTCCAGGCTGTAACACATGTCCAGACTGGTCATCCGTCAGGTGATGTTTCTCCTTTCTGCAGGCTGGTCCAGCGAGTGCCTGCTGGAGTGGGACAGCTTCACCTCCCTGGCCATCCCCAGCATGCTCATGATGTGCATTGAGTGGTGGACCTACGAAATTGGGAGCTTCTTGATAGGTCAGTGGAGAGAGGAGCTGCCGGGAGATGACCCAGAGCAGCAGCTGCAGGGGCTGAGAGCAGCTCTCCCCTGGGCACCCACAGCCAGCACTGACCCCCTTCCTCTCCCCCAGGCCTGCTGAGCGTTGTCGAACTCTCTGCCCAGTCCATCATCTATGAGGTGTCTGTCGTTGCTTTCATGGTAAGGACTGGGTTTATTATTACAGATCAGGGCTCCATAGGGACCGTCCTGAGACAGGCACCCAGCAAAAATCAGCTCCAGCAAACCTCCATCTTCCCCCTCTGCACTTAAGCCTCTCCCTGCTCCTGCCTATCCCTCCTACAGAGATGCCTCAAATCAAATCCTGAACTCTGTCCCCCTCTCTGCTGGGTCCTTACTCCACTGTCACTGTGACAGCCCAGCTACCCAGACACACACACGAGCCTCAGCCCTGTGGTTGCAGATCCCCCTGGGGCTCGGCACAGCTGCCAGTGTGCAGGTGGGGAACGCTCTGGGTGCTGGAGACTTCGAGACAGCCAAGAGATCCTCCACCACCAGCCTGCTCTGCACAGGTCAGTCCATGACACGCCGGGAAGCCTCTGCCTCTGGGCTCCTTCCAGGCAGAGCAGAGGCAGGGACCATTTGCCACTTCCCCCAGTGCTCTCTCCCTTCAGCAGTTCTGCATCATGGCCAGGCTGGGCTCAGCACTTTGCTCTGTTTCCAGGGGCGTTCTGCATAGCCGTGGGGATCATTTTAGCCTCCACGAAGAACGTGCTGGGATACATCTTCACCAAGGACAAGTGAGTGCCCCCGGCTCCTGGCCTCGGTGCACAGAGGTCAGTTCCCAAAAGTGATCATTGCCTTGTCTCTGTCCCCAGGGAGATCGCTGACTTGGTGGCGTGGGTCATGCCTGTCTATGTTGTCTTCCACTTGTTTGAAGCCACGACTGTAAGTCCCAGGGAATACTGCTGTTTTCCATAGGGCACCTTGGTGCTGAGCAGTAGCATCGTGGGTCAGTGGGTCGAGGGTCCCTCAGGCTGCAGGTGAGCACTGGTGCCCACACCAGGACCCTGCAGGGATCCCAGGATCATCCCTTAGAAAATACAGAGTGTATAAAGAGATGGTGACCCACAGGACTGGCCAGGGACACAGAAACAAGGGGCAGAGGCGGGGAGCTGGTTCATCTGCAGGAAGCAGCACAGCCCTGAATTCAGCTGAGTTGGCAGTCCCTGCCCCAGCCCCTCTCCCTCTCCCTGCAGGGCGCCTGTGCGGGGGTGCTCAGAGGCATCGGGAAGCAGAAGTTTGGAGCCATCCTGAATGCCGTGTGCTACTATGGTGTGGGCCTGCCCCTGGCAGCTGTGCTGCTCTTCGTGGCCAAGATCGGCGTCATAGGTACTGACCCCTGGGCACCCAGCTCTGCACGCCCCCAAATCCCCCACGGGTACATGCAGCTCCCCCCAGCTCCACTGATGGCTCACCATGACCCTGCCTCAGATCTGCCCTCCCTCGGATCTGCCTGGGGACAGGGCACGCTGGGCTGGGCTGGGCTGTCCCCTGCAACTGCTGAGAGCTTTTACTTGTACTGGGAAGAAGTAACTGCTGCCAGGTGTGC